GGCACAACCCATTCGTTTATGTATTGTCTATGGCTGTTTTCACACGATAGCGGCAGAGTTGAGTAGTTGCAAAAGAGGTCGTGTGGCCCACAAAACTCTTAAAATATTTCATCTCTGGCCCTTTACGAAAACGTGTGCCAACCCTGGACATCTATAGACCGTGACACCTGTAAGCAAGAGGGTCAGGGTCTTCCACAGGGCACACAGCTCAGCGTGGTGGTGTCTGCTGATAATACCACCACCGTAACAACAATATCTGCCAGCCACTGAGTGCTTACCAGGTGCCAAGCATTCCTGTCACCTCATTCGATCCTTACAACTACCCTTCCAAGGTCACTTGTCTCAGTATCCCCATTTCATAAATGAGGAAGCTGAGGCTCTAGCGGCCGAGTCACCTGCCCCAGGTGTTACAGTGACAGCCAATCCCAAGGGTGGGCACGGAGGACACCATGGCTCTCAGAGTCCGTGCCACCAGCACTGAGGCTCAGGCAGCCCCATAAAGGATACTGAAGATGATGCCACCAAAGCAGGCCGAGAACGCCATCCGCGGGTAACCCTGGCGGGCCAGCGTGAAATCAGAGAAGACATCTGCATGGAAACGAGAGGCCTTAAGGGGTGAGTGGCTTCCCCGGCCCTCCAGAGTTTTCATTCCTTCATTCTTACCCACAGTCGTTCAGTCAACAAATATGGATGGATGCCCCCCCGGGATCTGGGTGCTGTGGGAGGCCACAGCATCCCATAAGACGCCACAGCATCCCATAAGACACCACTCCCTCCTTAATTCCTTTTACCGTACTCTTTTCCAGCAGGGGCAACTTTGTGGGTGTGACACGTCACCACCAATTTTTCACCCAAGTCCTGTCGGCTGCTAGCACACACAGTACCTCCGTGCAAATTAGGAAAAGGTACCCAAAAAGGTGAGTGAAAGGAGAGCTAGATTTTGGCTTTCCCGGTCCCTTGTCTAGATGCTTTTGTGCAGTGCGCAACCTGGCCAACCCTACTTGGCAGCTGTAGTAGAGAAGGCTATTGCATGTCTGTGGGAATGCCTACAAATGTCACACACCCAACGTACTCATTCAGCATGGTGGGCTGCAGTGGGCTCCAGGTCCTGCCTAAACTCTGGGGAGCCACTGAGTGTCCACGCATCAGACTGAGAAAGAGGCTGGGCTTCTCCAGGATCTCCTGATCCCAATGCCCAGTGATGGGCACGTGCTGAGGGCAGGTGCCCTGGACGCCCCTGCCCTCACATAATTCTGGCTGGGGGAGCAAACAGCGGCGATGTGGCCGTGCTCAGGTCAGCACCCCACCAGGCCCTGACTCACCTCCGATGCTGTTTCCCCAGGCCAGCAGCGTGAGTCCCAGCACCGTGTTGCTGAGCCGGAAGACCACGCCCAGAGACCGCAGGATGTTGACCACCTCTGTGGCCGCTGCGTTGATCCACAGGGCGCTGGTCAGGAAGCCCAGGAAAGCAAAGGCCTGGGGGAGGGAACAGTGTGCTGATGGGACCAAGGCCAGCCCCCAACAGGGACACGACCTCGATTCCTCGTCTGGAACATGGCATGGTGATAGTACCTATCTTGTGAGGTTGTCATGAGCATAAAAGGAGTTAACAGATGCCAAGCAACGAGAGCCTGCCACATAGTAAGTGCTCAGGAAAATGGCAGCTCAGTATTACTATTTCGTCAATAAGGGGTTCATCGTAGCTTTCATCGGGTTTCCAGTCTATGGACCTATCACCACAAAAAGAAACCCCATACCCATTAGGAGTCACTCCCCAGCCCTCCAACCTTCACCCCAGGCCCTGGCAACCACTACCCTACTTCCTGTCTATATAGATTTGCCTATTCTAGACATGTCGTATAAATGGCCTCATTTATTTAACAATATGGGGTCTTTTGTGACCACATATTCACTTAGTTCATTGTTTTCAAGGTGCATCCATGTTGGAGCATGTGTCAGGACTTCAAAAACTAGTAAGACACACTGGGTGAAAACCATTTCTTTAAATGATCCATTTGCTGAAAACTCGACCCCCTTTGGGTTCCATTCAGAGTTTCTAAAAATAAAAACTACACTTTTTAAAAATAATAAATAGTAAAAGATAAACATTTTAGGTAAACTTTTGAAGAAAACGTCTCTGGACAAACTACCTAAAAATTCCTTAGAGTGCTGCAGGGTGGACAGAATGGGAAAAGACACTCACAAAAACCAAACAATTCCATCACTGGGATGCGATTGTTGAGGAACCCAGGTGCTTCCTGGTGGGTATAGTGGAAAAGCCTGGAAGGTCTTCAATAAGGTCAACATATGATTACCCAGCAGTTCCATTCTTAGTAATACACCCAAGAGAAATGAAAGCCTAGATCCACACAAAAATCTTTACACAAACATTCATGGCAGCAGTATTTATAATACCCAAAAAGTGGAAACAAGCCAACTGTCCATCCACAGATGAAGGGATACGTAAAATGCAATATAGTGCAATGAAATAGTACTCAGCCATGAAAAGGAACGACTTACTAACCCATGCTGCCACGTGCATAACATTTGAAAACATTTTGCTAATAACTGAAAGAAGCCAGTCGCAAAAGACCACGTATGACTCCACTGATATGAAACGTCCAGAACTGGCAAATCTATTGAGATAGAGAGCAGATGGGCAGTGGCTAGGGGATGGAGGAAGAAGGGTGATAGGGTGTGACAGTTAGATATGGGGTTTCTTCTGGGGGTGATGAAAATGCTCTAAAATTGATTGTGCTGATGGTTGTACAACTGTAAATATACAGCTGACCCTTGAACAATATGGGTTTGAACTTTGCAAGTCCAATGTAAGTTCAAGGTTCAACTGTGCTAAAAATCACTGAACTGTACACTTCAAATGGATGAATTTAATGGTATGTGAATTACATCTCAATAAAATAAAGCTGTTACAAAAAAAAAAAGGACCTTGCACAGGTATAAAAACACTCAAATGTGGCTTTAAAGACCTGTCATTGTGGAAGGTGATTACTGGCCTAACTGGCCCAGAGGCATGGTCAGGGCATCTGCCTCGGAGACCTCAGTGTCCCCTCTCCCAGTTTGGAGACCCCAGGGTTCTTACCCAGTGAAACCTGGGGGGCTCGCTGTTAGATGTGGCAAAAAAGGTCACTGAAGCCAAGGCTGTGCCCACAATCACCACCACGCCCCAGACGGGAAAGAGGCCACCTATCTCATAGACGCCATCTGCAGAGGGACAAGAAAGGGAGTGGTACAGCTTCAACTCAGCACCTCCTCTTGGAACCCCCCCCACCTCAAGAATGATTGAGGGGGCCTAAGGGAGAGGCCTACGACTATAACCCACTTACATCTCCTATGTGCCCAGCCCTGTCCTAGGCACTTCAGGGGGACAGAGAAATTAAAGACACAGCCCCTGTCCTCAAGCTAGTCACACAGGAAAGAAAAGACAGACATGAAAAAACAGGCTCTCTCCAGCTTTTCGTTGTGGAACTGGGATGGATGGAGATAGCTCAGACTACTCACCACGGTTATCCTTTCCCACGCCCATGGCAGACATCGCTAATCAACCATGATGCTTCTGTCTAACTGAGCTTCAAGGCAGCCCCCTCCAGCCAGACATTGCTAATGGATGGGCATCACTCCACGAGATAAATCCAACCTTACCTACTGACTCTGGAGCCCAGCAACTGCTCTCTTGATAAATCCACTCCACAAACCAATGCATTATAAAGTTATGAAGGTTCCCGAGGCTTCTCATGGAAACACTAAAGGGAAGAAACCCTGCAGGCAGGCAGAACACTAGAATTCTCCACACGCCACCCTTTTCACCGCTACAGAACCTGTACTGGTCTTAAAGGCAGTGGGGGGTTTGATAGCCCAGACACAGGCCACAAGATTTTCCTTTTGTTCTTTCTTTAGTCTGGCTCATTGGCTCTCAAACATTGTTGGGCATAAGATTTATGTGAGGGTGCTGAATACACAAAATCCTGTCCACAATACATTATGGGTGATTTCCAGCGGGGGTGGGGGTAGGGGGGTGATTTTGAATGAATACGATTTTCACCAATAGTGCTGGTTTTGGTACCTGATGCCTGGGTGAGAGGCCCTTTCTCTGTATGTGCTCGAGGGATTTTAGGAGGTGGCTGGGGCGTGGGGCGGGGGCAAGGGCTCCATGGGAAAAGGGGAGAGTTGGGTGGGAAGAAATAGAGCAGGTTCATGCCAGCAATAGCAGAAAGAGGGCTGGGGAAAGCAGCGGGCTCAAAGGATAGCTGGGGGACGTGGACTTTTCCCCAAGAGGCACTGGGAAGCCATCGAGGTTTTTGAGTGGAGGGGTGACCACAACACCAGCTGACATGACGCCCCCTTGAGTCGTGACACCCACACCCCCCTCAGGCAGGGAGCTGAGTTTGGGGGTTCTCTCTATCCAGTACTCAGCCCAAAAGAGGGTCACAAATGCTTTCGCCTGAACCAGTCTTTCCCCCCGTGGAGACCTGCTGCCCCTAGATGGTGTTGGCGCACAAGGACAAGATACTAAGTCCCACAGGATCCATCTCAGGGAAGGCGTTCCTTCTTCAATTCTCTCACAGTAGCAAGGAGAAAGTCTCCATTTGGTGCTAATGGGCCTGTAGCATCTCCAACACCTGCTAAATGCCCTCTTTAACAACGGCTCCTGGCTCAGACACTTTACTTTTCTTGTGTTCATTTTTGCAGTTACCTTGAATTTATGAAAAATGATGCCAGTTTTCTATGGACGCAGGTGTTAGCGTTTCCTCTGAAACACATTTAAATTTTTTTTAAAAAGAGAGCTGATTTTTTTAAAAAATATCAAATATAATAGTGTAGAATAGGAGAAAAATCAAGAGATGGTCATGAATGACTGTTTGGGAACTACTCTTTTAAGAAGCCACAATGATTGTGAAAGCAAGTCCTTGGGTTGAAGAGGCGGGGTTTCCCAGCTCAACAGGCAAGGGACAGCTGTGACAAACCAGGAAGCTGGCACCCGTAAGGGGCGCCCTTCTCAGCTCCAGGGTCACACTGTTCCCTGATGGGCTCCATCCATCACCTCCCCTCCAACTCTCCTTCCCTGGGTGCCTGTGCCCCTCTATACATCAGAAGAGACATTCAGGGCCGGCCGAGTGGCGCGATGGTTAAGAACTCGCTTGGGATGCCAGAGGGCCCCGGTTCGGATCCCACATATGAGGGCCAGTGAACACTGCCCTCCACAGCTAAGATGCTGAACAACAGCTCAACCTGGAGCTGGGCTGCCGTGAGTCGCTGGCGATGGCGTAGGCTGCAGCCCCTGTGGCAGTAGGTTGCCATGGGCTACCGTGTGTAGCCAGCAGCCAGCGTGAGCGGCCAGCAGCCTCAGTGAGCGGCCGTCCAGAAGCCGGCGACTGATCTGCCTCTCCAGGGAAGAGCGCAGTGATGGTGCCAACTTGGGCCAGTGAAGCGACATCCTCCACAACTAGACTGAAGAACAAAACGACAGCAACTTGTCTGTTCCCCTTCCCCAATCCCCCAGCACTGTTCCCATCCCCCCAATTCCCCAATAAAAATCTTTAAAAAAAAAAAAAAAAGAAGAGAAATTCACAGGGAATTGGACGGCTGTTTCATCCTGACGCTCGCTGTTCGAGCAAATAACACCAGGCCAGGCATTTGCCACCAAAGCCCTACCTCCACCTCCAGGTGCTGTGGGTTGAGGGCGAGGAGCCCAGATGACAGAGAGAGGAACGGAAAGCATGAGATACTAAAGTTAGACAACAGGAAGAACCTGAGTAGCAGGAGTTAGAACACGCCTGGCAAGATCGGCATTTCTTTACCCAGAGCGGGTCAGAAAAGAAAAGGACAGCCCAGGGCACACGGTGGGGACCAGCCAGCTCACACACACGAGGGAAGTAATCCACCCGCATCACCTAGTAGGCAATGGAGGGGCGTGTGATGAATCCCGGCTGCAGGCACCTCCACCGGGGGGTGGGCGCCCCTCTCAGCTCCAGCAATTTTGCCTTCGGGAACGTGGCCCAGGTCCTGAGAAGCCCAGACCTGGATTCTGAGGTCTCAATGCAGGCAAACAAGCCAGAGAGGGCTGGACGCTGTCCAAGGGCCGCCGGTGTTTGCTGCTTCCATCTGGAGCCCACAGGATTGGACCAACGGACTGCAGGAGGCTGGGTTCCCTTATGGCACAAGCACATATTAAGTGCCTGCTGTATGTCCAGATGCTGCCCATGGCCTGGGGCCCCCTGGTGTGATTAGGAAGAAAACTCAGAAGTGGGGGGAGGAGGAAGGTGGGCTGGCCTGCGGGGAGGGGATACTCACAGGCCCCCGACTGCAGCGTCAGGACCAAGACCAGCGGGCTGATCACCAGGTGCAGGCAGTTGAGGGGCCGTTTCCAGTTTCTGTCTTCCTGGTCAGGGTCCACGAGGGGTACGGTGAGGAGCAGCACGAACTCCACGGGCAGCTGTCAAGTGTCCAAAGGCGGGAGGGTGTCGCCAGGGAGACCTGTGCCTGGGCTGGCAGCACCCTGAGCTCCGTTTCTTAAGAACGCGGCCGTTGCCGCGTGCCGGCCGGCGGTGTGCAGGCCTGGGCTACGTGCCTGTAGCAGGCTCCTAGCACACTGTCACGTGCTGGGTGCCCTCAAACAACACACATTTATTCCCTTCGGGCCCTGGAGGATAATAAGTCCTAAAATCGTCAGGGCCGCACTCCCTCTGGAAGCTCTAAGGGAGAATCTGTTTCCTGGCCTTTGCCAGCTTCTAGGGGCCGCCAGCATTCCTCGGCTCGTGGCCCCGAGTCACTCTAGGCTGTGCATCTGCCATTACATCTTCTCCGGCCCTCCTGCCTCCCTCTTTCCCTATAAAGACCCCTGCGATTTCACTGGGCCCATCTCGATACTCCAGGATACTCTCCCCACCCCCAAGATCCGTAATCACATCTGCAAAGTCTCTTTTGCCCCATAAGGTTCTGGGGATCAGGATGGGGACATCTTTGGAGGGGGGCATTTTTCAGCCAACCTCTGCACCTCATTCACTAATCCTGACACAACGACAACTCTGAGCATGGGAACTATTATTTTTCCTACCTTCCAGATGAAGAAGCTGAGGCTCAGAGAGGTTAAGGAGCTTCTCCAAAGCCACACAGAGGGGGATATGCAGCTGGGATAACAGGGCCAGCTCTGACTGACTCCACACCTTGTATTTTTCGCCAATAACTAAATTAGCAATAACATTTACAGAGCGCTTACTATACGCTAGGCACCATACTCAGCCTTTCACACAGAGTGCTTTATTAAATTGTTCCAACCACTGAGGTAGGCTGGATACCGTTTCCAATCCTTAACAGAATTAAATACCCACACATTTTGTCAAGTGACTAGAATGTTGCAGAATGGATTTCCCGGTCCCACTGATGTTGAACTTGGCCATGTCACTTCCTTCGGCCAATGGGCTGTTGGTGACTGTGATGTGAACAGAGGCTTAAAACGTGCTTGTGACGTTTGCCTTGGTCTGTTCTGCCAAGAAAACAGCACAGTCCCAAGTACCCACTGGCCCCACAGTGAGACATGGGCCCCACCTGAACACCGACCACACCCCTGAGGACCCACTGGCCCTCGAATGAGAAAAAAATACTGTCATCATACGTCAGTGAGACTTTCAGGGTCGTTTGTTATGCAGCATTGTTGCAGGGATAAGTTACTGCTACAACCACTCCAGAAGAAAGACACTATCATCATCCCCATTTTATAGAGGGCGAAACTGAGGCTCTGAGAGGTGAAGTGACTTGCCCGAGGTCATAACGCAGCCAGAGCCAATGTGGGATTCAAATACACTTCATTATTTTCCCCCTGGGACTGAGGAAGCCTACAGTGGATACACATTGGAGGTCTCCAGGTTACCTCCTGGAAGGAGAGGGCTGAGGTGACACCCCTGGCTTTTTTTTCTGGGGGGTGGAAGGCAGCTATAGCTGTGCCTCATGTACACCGGCCTGGGTAGCCCTGCTTGTATTCAGACCTCAGGGGACATTCAGCCCAGAGAAGCAACAGATGATCAGAAAACCCAATCTTGTTCTCACTGGAACTCACCTTGGCCCGCTCCCTCACCCCAATCCCAGTTCCCCGCCCTCACCCAGGAAGGAGGGGTCCCCTCCTCCTCTCTCTCTCTGTCCCTGGGCAGATGCTCTCCTTCTCCCATGGCGGTGGGGGCAGAGCGCCATATCAGGCCATCGGCCACATTCAATGACTCAGTTTCCCCATCAAGTCCCAGCTTATCTAATTCTGAGAGGGTCTCAGCAGATCCCCTTCCCCTTCATTGAAGGTCGAGTGGCCACTGTCATGAAGCTGGGAGCCCAGTCCCAGGGTCCTCCCTCCTACCTTGAACACCTTGAGGACCTTCCAGTATGCCGGCTTGTACCTCCACTTCCTGTAATCCAGGGGGTTGAGTGCCCGGACTAGGATCTGAGCCGTGGTCTCCTGGTAGAAGAGCAGCGGCTGGCCCTCTTCCCCTGGGGGTACAAGGTGTGTGGGGGGGGACAGGTGTCTGTGGCTGGCTCAGCCTCCAGGAAGCCCTCTCCCCTCCCACCCATCCTCCCAACGCTTGGAAGGAAGGAAAGCCCGGTGCGTGGCAGGAGGCAGGCAAACCTGGCCCACGGCTCACCCAAGGTGCACCAAGAGGTGAGGCTGGTTAGTGGCCTCATTCCTGGGGCGTGAATGGCCCCATCTCCCCACCTCTCCACCCCTAGCCCTGCCCTGGTACCCCCACCCCAGCTGGGCACAGGGCCCTGGACTCACTGTAGTCATAGCTGTTGGTAGTAGAAGACATCCGCTCATCCTCGGAATCTGAGAGCATCTCTGTAGGAGAGAGGGGCGTGTCAGGTGAGCCAGCCAGGGAGCCCGTACCCTCCCCACCCTCGTTCTGGGATAGGGCCCCTCTGGGACAGGGTAGCTTTCCGGGTGGCCAGCGGCCAGACCCCCTGTAGTTTGGATTTCTCAGCAATCCCCACGCATGCTCAGGAGTTCTTACAGCGCGAGAAAGTCTAACTCACAAAACATTTTCAAATGTACTAATGGAGCTAGTAAACTTGGGCAAAGCAGGCGGTGAGGAGGCTTCACCAGCACAAGCCAAAGCACGGAAGGTGGGACCCTGGTAGAATGAGTAGAAAAAACACAAAGGGCAGGCGGGCAATAGCAAAGTCCTCCCGAGACGTAGGGCAGCAGGGAAGGGGAAACGGATGCCAGCCTCCACGGGTCCTCTCTTGCGGGCTCAGTTCAGACCCTTACCTGGAGTGCCGGGCATAGAGTAGACCAGGGTTCTCCTCCGCTGCCATTGGTAGATCCAGGTACAGAGAACCACAGTGATCACATAGAACACGTACAAGCCTATGTAACCTGCAGACAAGGGTGCAGGCTGTCACCAAGTGGCATCCCGGCTGCAGGGTCCAGAGAACAAAGGTTGCCGGTTCTATGGCCGGTACACGGTAGTGGCGGCTCGCAGCCTTCACCCAGCCCAGTACCGGTAGATAAATGACCATTTCCCAGAGCCTCCTCCCCTGCCCCCTGCTTTCCTTGGCCCATCTTCCCTTCCAATTCCACACCCTAACACTCCAGAAATCGAGGAGATAATGCCTCACACTGAGAGCGGCCTACAGGACCCCGTACAGGTGCTAAGGCTCTGTGTCCTGCTCTGTGCCCTGGGCCCCTGGGTGGCTGAGCCCAGCAGACCACGCCCCTGAGCCCTGGCTGCACTGGGTGCAGCCAGTGGGAGGGCCAACAGCAAATCAGGAGGCAGTGGGAGAGAACGCGCCTGGGGTATTTCTTTCCCGCCCCCCTCTCTGCTGTGGTGCCCCATCTCTGGCAGGGCCTGTGACCCTCTATGATTGTCACTCATGCTGGGTGGCACCAGCTCCAGGACTCCAGCCCTCCATTCTCTGCCCCTACGGGCATGGGGGGCATACGAGGGGGGAACTGCTCCCACTGTTGCTGGTCCCTGGGTGTCTGCGCATCTCAATGTCCCTTGTTGGTTTCCTTAACCCTCTGCAAATTGTCCCTCCATCCGTGTCACTTGAACCCTCTGAATGGAATGTGTAGGCTGTTGGGACCCGGATAGCTAGTCAGCATCCCGGCTCTACTGTTTGGTAAAATTTAAAATTGTGAAAATTCTGAACATCGCCCCTGGCTGTGCCCTGTCCACCTTGGTTACCTGAACCGTGTGTTCCCTTTTGTGCTCAAGCTGGCTTGAGTAGGGTTTCCACCCCTCGGAACCAAAGCAGCCCTGTCTCTGTGCCCTGCTGGCCACTCTCTCCTGCCCTCCTGTGCCTTCCACCCATCAGCCCTGGGATGACCCCGCCCTGCCCTGTGACTGCTCACCCAGGGCCCATGCCAGCGTGACCCTGCGGAGGTAGAGTGCGGTGAAGGTGAGGAACACAGCCACCATGTAGAAAATAATGTCCCTGAGGAAGGGCCTGGAGGCGGCCGAGAAGGGGCGCAGGATGGCGATGCCACCGGCCACCACCGTGGTGACCAGCACACCAGCACCTGGAGGAGAGGATGCCAAGCTCAGCCCACCCTGCACCCCCTCCTGCCGCCCCACACCCCCCAGCCAGGGCCGCTCGTACCAAACAGTGCCCCGAAGGCCAGGCTGGCTGTGTGCGGGTCCGAGAAAGCCACCAAGGCACTGAAGATATCAGGGGCACCGTTCCCAAAAGCCAGGAAGGTGACGCCATGGGGGAGCGTGTCAAGGGGCATCAGTGCAGAGGCCCCAGCCTGCCCAGGCCTCTCCTGGGCCATAAGCTGCCACCCTGACTCCCAGCCACCCCCGCTAACTACCTTCCCTCCCTCCAAGGTGCAGGACGTGGACCAAAGGATACTGCCACATTATGGGAGAGTTTGAGCATGCTGGAAATGGCTGACAAGTTAGGGCAGAAACTGTGGAGAAAAATCAAAAGGTGAAGACTCCACAGTGGGTGGCCCCCTGCTCCCACCCTTCCCCCAAACCTGGGGCTGCCCACATGTCAACCTCCCAGACTCCATCATTCCCATTTATAAGCTGGACCTGAGCCCAAGGCCAAACTCACAATTTCCCCGCCGTGACTCCCAGAATCAGAAACAGGTAAAGCAGCCAGAAAGCCTGAAGGGGGGAGGGGGGCAGAGAGGGAAAGGAGTGTTAAATCCAGGTGGTGCCACCAGCCCCGCCCACCAGATGGGGATAGGGTAGGGCCTCACATAGAAAGTGATGGCCAGAGGGAGGAGGTTGGGGGGGAAGTGGCAGAAGATGCCTTCCAGGTAGTCCAGGTAGCCCCCATTGCTGTGGCAGTCAGGGTTGGTCCGGATGAAGTCACATCGGTCAGAGGCATTCAGGCCACACACATCACGACACTGCAGGAAGGGAGGGGAGGGGGCTATAAGGGGTCGACACTCAAGGGTGATTGGGCCCATCTAAGCAGCTAAAAATCACCACCTTCAGCCTGGCCTCTCAACCCTCCAGGTGCCAACTACACACTTGAATTTAAAAAACTAAACCTGTGGGGTGGCC